TATATGTCCAGCTCTGGAACACTCTACTCAAAATTTGCCAGATTGGTTTAAAGATTGGGATATTTTCAGAATTTTCAGGAAATGATCACCGCCTTGGTGGTTAGTGGTCGCGGGGTAGGGGGAACTTCACCCCCTCCCTACCTTACGCCGACATTTCTGTTTCTTAGTTATTAACACCAGAAGATAGGGGAGATGGTGCACAAGAACCCCATATACGTCCAGCTCTGGAACACTCTACTCAAAATTTGTCAGATTGGTTTAAAATTGGGGATAATTTTAGAATTTTCAGGAAATGATCACCGCCTTGGTGGTTTGTGGTCGCGGGGTAGGGGGAACTTCACCCCCTCCTTATATTGTCTCCTATTTAAAAAAAAAAATATATTCTGAGGATATTATGAGAAATGCTCTGGAAGGATTCAATGGGGGAGTTATTAAAGTTTGGAGGTAAAAAGATCATGAACCTAAGGTATGCTGACGACACTACCCTCGTTTATAGCAGCAGAGAAGAGCTTATTGATTTGTGGAATTGCATCAAACAGGCAAGTGAAGAGAAAGACCTTCTTCTAAACATCAAACAGAAAAAAATAATGGTTGTCGATAGAGACAAAAATAACACTGACTTCACCATAGCTGGAAATAAAATTGAAGTAGTAAATCGGTTTGAGTACTTGGGTTCAATAATCACTAACAAAGGAGAGAGCACCGCATAGATAAGAAGAAGGATGGCAATGGCGAGATCAACAGTACATTAATATGTCTCACATCTGGAGGAGCCGAGGCCTATTCCTCAGTCTGAAGGTTCGTCTGCTTCAAGCAACTTCCTTCTCTATTGCGACTTATGGAAGTGAGTCCTCGGCCATGACAAAGAATGACAGAAAGAGAGTTAATACCTTTGAAATGTTGTGCTACAGGAGGCTGTTGCAGGTGTCATGGAAAGATTAAAAGACAAATGTGTGGGTCCTGGAAAAGATTGGAACAGACTTGACTATCAGAAGGGGAATCATGGAAAGAAAACTAAACTATTTTGGGCACATCGTCAGGAGATCTGAAGGTGTTGAGAAGCAAATACTGTAAGGAGTAGTCGAAGGAAAACGGGGTAGAGGTCGTCCACCAATATCTTGGACTGATGATATCAAGAAAGTGTCTGGACAAGGAATGAAAGGTGCAACAGAAATGGCAGGTGAAAGAGTTGCATGGCGTGCTCTCGTGAAGACCAGAGCAGCACTTTACAGCGCCACCTGAAGTTGATGGTGATCATATGGGTTGACATAGTTTTTACATTAAATTCTTTCAGCATAATTACTCAATAAATGTAATTTCAGTTCGCGTTTAAAAACGGAGCCAATGATAGAGCGAGTTACATCAATAGGGAGTGAGTTCCAAAACTTAAGACCAGTACAAGCTAATGTATTCAACGCAAAGGCAGTTCTTACACGCGGTATATGGAGTGCAGTTGCCTGTCTTGTAAATTTGACTGTTCTTTCTAAATAGCTGTACTAACGTATTCGGGAGGGTACCATTTTCAAAATCATACATGATTGAGCCTAACTGCAAGAGATAGGTATCTTCTACCTTTAATAGTTTATTACTATGAAACAAAACATTAGTATGAGCACGATAATTTACATTAAAACAATTCTTATCACCATTTTCTGAGCGACAAGTATCTTATTTAGTTGCGTTTTACTGACTTCCCCCATGCCAACACTCCGTAATTAAGATAATGCAAAATCAGAGTAGAGTATAAAATAAGCAAAATTTCTTGTGGCACAAAAGAACGTAATTTATAAATTACACCGGTATTTTTAGACTTAACTTTACAAATATTACTACAATGTGATGCCAGAGTCAGCTTCTCATCAAAGTGTAACCCAAGAAACTTGGTAGAAGTTACCCTCACAATAATAACATCATCAAAAAGTACGACTCCAGGTAAGTCTCATACTAAAAAGCATATAGTTTGTCAGAGGTTCGAAGACAACTTATTTGCAAAGATCCACTATGTAACTTTCTTTAATTCATTATTAAAGATAAACTTTAGTTCTGGTAAAAAAAGAAAATGAATTCTCACAGAATCTAACGAAACTTACACTGTATGTTCAAAATTACAAATAAATGTCATGTGCCAAACAATTTTGGAAGAAAATGTATACTGGCTGAGTAATGAGCATAGAAAGAAAAGGAAATCAGGGTAGTACTAGCCCCGACACCATGTGTGTTGTCCCATATACATTTTTCTGTGTAAGTGATTGTAACTTTACCAAGCATTACACACCATTACTTACATGCTATATGATCAACTTTTCTGATCCATTCTACACCTTTTCTTTCACAATGCAATCGCATAATTACCAGTACTCAAGTTTATCTTTAACTGTTTCTAATAACATTTCAGGATTTTTATGAGAAAAAAATACACTTGAATGATCGGGGGGGGGGGGGGGGGGGTTGGGTGGGTAAGGGCACCTTTTTTTGGTAACCTATTAGCTACCCCACCCACCCACCCCCCCCCCCCCCCCCCCGCGTACGCGTCTGCCAGCCACCGTTGCCACATCCCGTTGCCTTATCAAACATGAAGGCCAAATTAGATTAAGATATAATTACTTTCGCTGCATTATCAAAGTCCTGATACATGGATGGCCGCCCATCATACCATATCCTCTGACCGACAATGAGCTCAGTGACAATTATGCAGTTAATTTCATTCGTTTAATATCAGGGTTAGGAATATAACGAACAATAATAAGCCGCGTAATTAACTACGTCCATGTCATAACCATGTATAAATCGCAATGATATACAAATCATTAGAGAGAGCATGCATGTTCAATCACACATTTAAGACAACCGTTAAACTACTTTATGATTAAGGCAGGCCTTGGCGTGAAGTGCTGACTAATAAATGATTGTACATCAATGTGTATAGCTAACTGCTTAAAAGCATATCATATTGGACTGCGTTGGACAGCGTGGAAAGATTAATTAAAAAAGAGCGCGGTTTAATGTACGAAATGTAGGCCTAATTTGTTGTTTTACGATTACAATTATAATTTGTAAAATAATGAATGCATCTCGCAAACGTGACGGAGTAAATACAAATATTAGTCTTGAATGTAATGAAATGTATCACCGACGCCGAATTGATGGCGAATTAAATCGGCGAGCAAAGCGGCGGCAAAGCGTAACAAAGCTTAATTAAAGCGTAAAGACCGCAATAGAGCGTGAGAAAGCTTTGAGCAATTCGGGACATTCGGCAAGAGCGCCAAAATGTTTTAAACTGTTTAAAAATTTGAGGCGATCTGTCACGAATTGCGTAAAGCGGGGAGAGCGTATTAAAGCTTATCAAAGCGTCACAAAGCTTATCAAAGTTTTGCTCAAAGCGTAGGAAAGCTTAACAGAGTTTAACAGAGCTTGGTTCGAAGCGGTGACCCCACTTTGTACGCTCTGTCATTATTGACATGCTTTGTCAAGATGTCAGAGCATAACATATCTGAGGAGATCGTGAGATTTTTTGAAAAGTGACGCCGAATTGATCGCCGATTTAAAGTGCGACATTCGGCGTCGGTGTGAACTGTGCATTTATTCCTATTTTCATATCTTCGATAGGGAATGGCATAGTTAAAATAATATCAAATGTCATTACTATAATGTAATTTCTTATGATTTTAGTTTCTGGAGAATTGAAAATGAGTTTATACAAGTCGTGCTAAAACTGACATTATTAGCGTTTCCATTTACAGGGAATATATCAAATATTGAATAACAAGAAGCCCCCTCCCCTCCTCATTTGAAAAAAGTCGGAAAAGAGAAAACTATAGAATCTGTTTTTCTTAAGCCTTCATGGTATAATCATGGGGAAAATGGGTATTAGACATAACATTTTATTAAGTTACTGAATTCATTTATCACTGATAACCTGAGTGTTGAACTTTGACATGCCTCTTAAACATAAAGATGTCATGGCCTAGTGGATACGTCACCGGATCACATGGTTCGCGGTTCGAGTCCCGCTGCGGCACTTATATCTTTTAGCAAGACATTAATCTACATTTGCCACACTCCACCCAGGTTAGGTAATTGGGTACCCGGTAGGAAGACATTTCTTGAATGCTTGAGCACCTTTGCGTGGTAGCTTGACTTAAGCCGGGGGTAATAATAGCAGGGCCCTAAGTAAGAACAGTAACAATACTGCTGAGGTTACATTATGATAAATCATGTTCATAGCAACCATATAAGTACAAGTTTGTTATTATAAAGAAAATGAAAAGCTTAATTCCAACGGCATTTGAAAGACAATACTCATTTAACCGGGGGTAATAATAGCAGGGCCCTAAGGGAGAACAGTAACAATACTGCTGAGGCTACATCATGATAAGTCATGTTCATGGCAACCATATAAGTACAAGTTTGTTATTCTAAAGAAAATGAAAAGCTTAATTCCAACGGCATTTGAAAGACAATACTAATTTAGCCGGGGTAATAATAGCAGGGCCCTAAGGGAAAACAGTATAAAAACTGGTGCAGGGCCCTCAGGGTGAACAATATTAAAACTAGTGCACGGCCCTTAAGCGTTGGTCACATCCCACCGTGCGTGTTTTTAGTCCGTACGGTTTTTGGGGAGGTCACGGCCGCCACGTTTTCTGAAAACGTAGGGAGGGAGTGGCAAAGGCAGGGAGGGAGTACCGGCAAAGCACGTCACACGCACGGTGTAAGTACGTGGCCCGCACGCCACGCCTGGCCGTGAGCGGTTGCGTGCATCGTACGTTGCGCACGTGGTAAGTGCGTTGTACGTGCTTACAACGTGCTTACAACGTACGGTCTCCGTGCGGTTGCCACGTTATCTTACGGAGGCCGTACTTACACGTGCTGCTCACGTACGGTGTCCTTACTCACTCGCACGTTGTAAGTGCGTGCACGTGCGATGAACTCGGTGAGTCGGGGTATGTCGGAGCATATAGGACGACATTCCCTCTAGAAGTCCCAGCTGCTGCTGCCTCAAGATGCCGCCCATTCCACCGCAGAAACTCCGGGTTCTGATGCTGCAAGAACACCTTCAAGTGGCAGCGCATGAGTACGACGTGGTATTACTTGCCTTGATACGGGAGAGAGAGAGGCAACAGGCAACAGGTGTGTGTCTTCATTTCTGCCATAACAAATTCTTGTTTTTGCTTTGTATTTGCTTTAAAATGTTGTCTTATTTCTATTGGAAGCTTCCCGTCGCTCATTTAAGAATAAATCTCTCTAACAAAGGGAGCAAATTTTGCAAATCACAACTTTTCAGTAAAATGGCTATAGAATATAAACGCCTTCATGTAAGTTGATGATTTTGGTGGCAAATAAAACTTGAAGTGTTTTTCTATCAAATACTATAAACAATAATTGTATTTAGTCATTCATGTATTTGTAATTAAGGTCAATTTTTGTAGCAATCTTTATGGTCCACCCAAACGCTATTAATACATTTTATGTTTCAGGAGTCGCCGCCCTCTTGAGCCTGGCATGAAGCTGGCCATCACCCTTCGCTTCTTGGTGACGGGAACAGCTACAGGTCCCTTGCCTACGACTTCCGGGTGGCACACAACAGCATATCCACGTTCGTGCCAGAGGTGCACCGCCATCTACAAGGAATATAAGGAGAAGATGTTCAACATACCCTCCACACAGGACGAGTGGAAAGCCGTCGCCCGCCAGTTTGGAACGCGATGGAACTTTCACCACTGTTGTGGGGCGATCGACGGGAAACATATCGCTATCAAGAAGCCCAATAAAAGTGGATCGCTCTATTACAATTATAAGCGCTTCTGTTCTGTGGTGCTCCTGGCCATATCGTGAATGCTAACTATTCCTTCTTTCAGACACAGGCGTGTTCAACGAGTCCACCCTCCGGGGGCACTGGAGGACAACACCATTGGATTCCCAGCACGTACCGGATCCACTTCCAGGTGACGACCGGGACTTTCCCTACTTCATTGTAGGCAATGATGCTTTTCCCCTACGAAAGTGGCTCTTGAAGCCATACAGTCGCCGTGCCATGACCCACAAAGAGAGAGAGTGATGAACTATCGGACCTCTCGGGCCCGTCGGGTTGTGGAGAACGGCTTCAGGATATTGGCTCACCGGTGGCGGTGCCTACTCATCACCCTGCAGTTGGAGCCTGGCAGGGTGATTTACGTTGTGTTGGGCTGCCTCACCCTTCACAATCGGCTGCGAAAGCGCCGGCCCGGACTACAAGACCTTAATTTGGACCGCGAGGATGAGGATGGCAACGTGGTCCCCGGGGCCTGGAGGGAGGATGTGCAGATGACCGAACCCAACCAGATGGTCGGCCAACGGGCCTCAAGGGAAGGGAAAACCCATAGAAACTATCTAGCGGACTATTACAGTTCCCACTTGGCCGCCTACCATGGCAAGATCGGGTTGTTTGAACACATGAACTCATGATACTCATGATTTAATTTTATGAACTCTGGAGACATTCTATGAACTCTACAGACACTCATGATTTTAAAGAACTCTGGGGACATTCCATGAACTCATGATTTAATTTTATGTATTTATGTGTGAATAAACATGTAGAAGTCAAACATAATAATGAAATGTTTTTTTTGTTCTTATTTAAAATCAACCTTAACTTTAATATGATATACCAGAATGGTTCCGGTCTCACCTCTTACTTTCACCCCCCCCTAATTTTTAACAAATGGTTATAATAAACTTTTATACAGTTTGCAAAATTACTGATTTTTATTATTGCAGTTTCACTAAATTTGCTTATATATATATATATATTTTTTTTTGGGGGGGGCAGGTTTTTGTTATCATTTTGCCCCATGCACCATGTAATCTTGAGCTCTGAAATTTGTTGAAAGTACAAATCAAGGAGGACTTTTAAGGCAAACCAGGTCTTTATTATACTCAATACTACAACTAATAAGTAATAAGTAATAATAGCATAAGAACAAGAACATTCCAACATGAGCAACGAAAAAATAAGTTAACACTGTAGTCCATAAACGTTTCTGTTATGCCTCTCTGGCCTTCTTATTCGCTGCCTTTTGAGCTGCAGATGCAGCTGACCCCTTATTCTGTGTCTTCTTCGGCGCCATCTCTTCCGTCGGCTCGGCTTTTGTATACTGCATAAATCAGTGCGCACAACGTGCGTTGTAAGTGCGGAGCACGTGCTTACTCGGTACGGTCCACGCAGGCGCGGATCCAGGATTTCTTAGGGGGGGGGGGGGTAGTGAGCACTTTTTTTTTTTTTTTTCCTCAAAAAAAATTTCAATTTTGCCACCCCCCCCCCCCCCCCCCCCTTGAGCGCCAGGGGGGGGGGGCCCAACCCCCAAAAAAGGTAAAAATCACGTGATTTTACATGATTTTTTTTCTCAAGGGGGGGGGGGGCCCGGGCCCCCCGGGCCCCCCCCCCCCCTGGATCCGCCACTGGGTCCACGTGAGTTCTGCGTGCTCATTAGACAGTTGAACTGGGGAAGTGGCGAGTAAGCACGGACCACGCACTTATCACGTGCGCAGCACGCACGTGCTAAGTGCGCCTTCCGTAGAGCAAGTGATCGTGGGAAACAAATTTAAAAACGCACGGAATCAGTGCGTTGTGCGCTCGTTGGCAGTACCGGGCACGCACGTCACGCGCACTGGGGGTAAATCGGTAGCCCGAACGCAGCGAAAGTTCCTCATGCACTAAAAGTGTGTCTGCGTGTTCCCAAATCCGTACGGAGGCGGTACTCACCACGTACCGATACCCAAATTTTGCCCACGTTTTTGCACGTAGACAGCACGCACTTGCAAGTACGGCGGGATGTGACCACCGCATTATATTAGGAAGAACAGTAACGATACTGCTGAGGTAATTAGTAGTATATTTGTAAAGCGCTTAGAGACATTTGTATTAAGCGCTATATAAAAATTAAATATTATTATTATTATTATTATTATTATTCCTTTAGGTCTAAAAGACTTATTATTATATTATTGCCTCAATATCAGGCCATTATTTGTATTATAATTATTCATGTGCATAGACACCTGCCATGGAAGTACAAGTTTGCTATTGTAGCTAATCTGTGTTGATCTCTCGTGGGTGTGTTACCATCACTAAATGCTGATGCAGGGCTCTCATGGAGAAAAGTATAAATACTGCTGAGGCTTCATCGGGTTAACAAGGGATATTATTATAATATAGTTGATGTTAATTCAGCACAAACACCCTCATCCACCAACTGTCTATTTAAACAAAGGAGTCCTGTCAATGCCGTGTTATGATACCATGACGTTTAATGCGCAAAGCGCAAATCAATGCACATCGACTAAACTTCTGAGGCGAAGTGACGTGTAGTAACCTGAAGTGTGGTTCAATCTGTATATGAACAAACAAAACATAAACAATAATAAATACCTTGCTTATATAAATCAACAATCACAAGCATTATCCAATACTGCTCTATTGTAAGCCAAATAGCGGAATCTTATTACCACTTAACTGCTTTAATTAGCTGGACTTCATCAATATTCATGAACATATCATACAGAACGTCCATTTACACCCACTGACTGTCAATGTCAGGAGTCAAATTGTACACAACTCAAAATTAACAAAGCCAGTTTTGTGGCTAAATCATCCTTTCACATATACTGAGTAATTTATCTACGGTTATCTTGCCTGATAACCTCATAACATTTATATCTCTAACCTTACATGTCATTATTTATGTTTCATACGTGCCTTATCAACTCACATACATGTACAATCCTATGCACTTGTTTATACATGCTCATGCGAGCAGCCATTTTGAAATGCCCAACCATGTAGCTATTTCATAACACTTTTCATCAATACGGTCACTAATAATCCTTAAATTATCACAAATTAATAATCATACTACTCTTTAACATCTTAACTACAGGATTTGACATGAATTAACACTTACAACATTGGGTCTCGACAGGATTGACTTGATTAATAGTCGGCGAAATCACTGGGTAAACCTTCCCACTCACAGAAGTATTTGCTGTCCGTAGTAGTAAACGCCCCCACCGGCCAAACTAAGTTATTACGAAAAAGTCGACAAAATTCTGTCCGCAACAATAATGACATCAATATAAGGCCACACATCATTAAGCATTATATAATCATGTTCATATACACCATGGAAGAACAAGTTTGTTATTGTAGCAAAACTGTGTTGATCTCTCGTGGGGTGTTATTGTTGGAATGTGGACTAGTTTATGTTTTATGTAGATCGCGGACTTGTCCGATTATGCAAATTAGTTCGCTACGCGTGTTGCACATGATTTTGCGGATGAATGATTTATTGTGTGATACGCCGCCCACGTTAATGTGTTAACATACATGTTAGTATTGAATCACATTCATGTCACGTTCAATTGCGGAGAGGACGTTGTTGCTGTGCCTGTAGCTGTGTATTACAGAGTCACGCGGTTTCCTTGTTTTAGCGAGGGTTTTGGTTCAACTGTTTGGCAGTATTTTCGAGGGCAAGATCAGATGACTTGCATGTTGCAGTTTCTGTTGCTGAGCTGAGCTGAGTTGATTGCTGGTAGCTTCTTGGTGTCTCCCTTTTCCCCTTCACTTCCTTTTCCACTGTAGTTGAGAGCTTCAGTGGTTTATTGCTAAAGACTTTCGGGTACGTTTTAATGAAATTCTGGTAAAGTTTGCAACAGACTTTGCGTAACTTTACTCAGTCTAATATTGCAGTGTGTTTAACAATTTATATGTATATTGATGTTATGGGACAATTTTATATTTGTTCCATCGTATTATGAATACTTACAGATAAATGCATGTATTTCTTGTTTATCTGATGCAAGTATGATGCTCTGAAGGATAGATTTATATTACTGTTTGATGAGATTCTTCACAGCTGATTTGATGTTTAGATTTAATTATGTCATTCCAGTTAATGATTATAATATTTGATTTCAGTGATTATACAACAGAATCAAGCTGAAACATATTTGATTTGAAGATAAAGTTGTAATTACTTTATATGATATTTTATCAAGAGGATAAGAATATCTCTGTTTAGTAATTACTTTGATTTATTTCATTGATATAATCATGTATTTGTGAAGATGACATTTGTAATTGTTCGAAATACTAAAACATGTTTTGTTTTATTATTCTGCCAATTGCAGGTTTTTTTTCTTCCGTTTTTGCGTGCATGAATCACCGAGAATCAACGGTTTGTAAATTAAAGCACCGGTTACGCTAACGCACGTTTCCCGAGTTTCATTTATCGTCTCACACGTACTACGACATTATCATCACTTAAAGGGGCATGTTCCCCTATTCCGTCGGGCGTTAATATTACGTACGCGCTGGCGGACGGTGCTATATAGCTGCCTACCATGGGTGTCGATCCCGGGGGAGGGAGGGGGGGGGGGGGGGGGAGGGGGGATGGGGGGATATATCCCCCCAATATTTCAGGTGGGGGGGGGGGATAGCCTGTACAATCATCCCCCCAATAATTCATCATACAAAATTTTAAAAAATGAAGAGAAAAATTAATGATGAGAGCCCGATGAGGGTAGTTAATGGTTATTACTCGCAAGATGACCATCAATATACACAATTTGCTATATCATTTTCATAATACCTATGTTAATGAGACAACCGTATATGAGATAAGAATAAAATTGAATTTTCGCTCATACGGCTTCATCAGGAATTGATGAATATATTTAATTTATTCAATCAACAGCAACATAACGAAGCGTTAAAAAGCAACGAGCTAAATGTTAAGCGCAAAGCGCAAAAGTGCAAAAAAAGAAAGAAATAGAGAGTGGGAGACAGAGATAATGAG